AAAGTTCTGAAAACGTACCTGCTGAGGTCGTGTAGCATATCAGAAGACCAAATGCACAAAGGGGTCAAAAGAGAAGGGAACAATTTGCCGCTCCAAGTGAATCAACACAAGTGCCTCGCTTGCCTCCACCATCCATCACAACATCAACCCCATTTTCTCAAGAAATTGTCAAATTGGTTGTATGGCCAAATATCATCATGACCATTTTTCAATGTTTGTAACCACAAGGCTAGGCCATGAGAAAGAAAAAGAGAAGAAGAAGAAGAAGAAGAGGAGGAAGAAAAGTTCTGAAAACGTACCTGCTGAGGTCGTGAAACAGAGGACTTGAAGAAGAAAGAAAAAGAGAAGAAGAAAGAAGAAGTTCTGAAAACATACTTGTTGTGGTCATGAAGCAGATCAGAGGACTGAAGAAGAAAGAAGAATAAGAGAGAAGCAGAAAGTCGCTGGAGGCTGATTGAATAAACCCAATGCACAAAGTGGTCAACAGAGAAGGAAACAACTTTTCGCCCCATGTGAATCGACACAAGTGCCTCACTTGCCACCACTATCCATCACAACATCAACCCCATCTTCTCAAGAAATTGTCAAGTTGGTTGTTACGGCCAAAGATCTTCATGACCAATTATCAATGTCTGCAAACACAATCTTGATCCGAAAAAATTACTAGGTACCTAGAAAGAAAGACCAAGAATCAATTTTAAAGACGCATTCGAACAAACAGAAAGATGAAACAGAAGAATACCTGCAATTCTTGAAGTAGAGAGCCATAAGTAGTAGTGACCGACTTAGAAAGAAGAGATGGATTATTGCATATTCAATCATATGTCACTAAAGTCACACCCCCTTATGATCAATTTAAAAAAATTCTACCATGTTTCCCACCCAACAGCAATTAAAAACAAGAATCTGTAGACAAGATTATCCTACACAGCTCTTATCTACCACAAGAAGATCAATTCTTACTACAAAGACGCAGAAAAAAGGAAAAGCACAAACCCCCAAAATCTTGATCGAATAAACAACCTTAAGAATTAACCCAATTTAATATATTTCTATTATATCTCCTTATAACACAATCTTGATCCGAAAAAATCACTGGGTACCCACAGAAAGAAAGACCAAGAATCAATTTCAAAAACACATTCAAACAAACAACAAGATGAAACAGAAGAATACCTTCAACTCTTGAAGTAGAGAGCCACAAGTAGTAGTGGAGAAGAGACTGATCATTGGCATATGCCACTAAAGTCACACCCCCCTTATGATCAATTCAAAAGATTTCTATCATGTTTCCCACCCCACCCCACAGCAATTAAAAATAAGAATTTGAACACAACTCAACAACATCAACTCTTACTAAGTGAAACGCAGAAAGAAAAAAAGGAAAACCCCAAAATCTTGATTTAATATATTTCTATCTCCAATCTCGATCCGAAAAAATCACTGGGTACCCAGAAACAGAAGCATTTGAACAAACAAGAAGATGAAACAGAAGCATACCTACAATTCTTGAAACACTAGCTCACATTGTCGATTTTTCAAAGAAGAAGAAAAAAGAGTAAGAAGAAAAGTTGGTGAAAACGTACCTTGGGCTGAAGAAGAAAAGAGAACGTTGGTTTGTGAAAATTTGAGTCTTTTAATTAATTAAATTTTTCCTTATATATAGAGTGGGTAAAGAATTATATTAGGAAATATCCCTTATTTAATACTACTATCCTAATCCTAATTTAGGAAATAAATATCTCTTATTTAATACTTACTACTATCCTAATTCTAATTTAGGAAATATCCCTTATTTAAAGTTTTATATATATTTATATTTATTTTTATATTAATAATAAAGGGAAGAAATTGGTGGCTGATTCCTTATAATTTTTCTTTTTTCTTTCTCACGCTCCCAACAGGATTTTCTCCGTACCTAGGGCTTCAACCTGAAACCTCCCAACAGGATTTTCTCTATTCCGTATTTAAAGTTTATTGTTTTTGAAAATCTTTCTAAAAGGCTAAAATATTTCCCGCAATACTCATTGGGCGTACCAACTCATTCGTATTGCGATGGACCTATTGCTTCGCCCACCGCATGGGGCTGCCCCTAGTCAAGCCTCAAACATAACAAAGTTGTTATGACATATAATTACAATAGAAATCACACTAGCTTAGGAGCAAATTATTTTTCTTTACGCGAGTTTCTAATATTACGAATTTTATTAGAATTTAGACTTTGGATATATGTATCTGACACGCCCAGATATATGTATTTTGGATACATGGGGTCAAAGTTATATATAATTTGTTCTAGATACATGTATCTAAGTGGATTCACATGTATTTGGCTTGCTCACTCGCTTCTCTCTTAAGTATCTGTATTTTAGAATGTATCTGATATCCAGATACATGTATTTTGTGTGTGGTTCACATACATCTGAGATATATAGACTAATTGAGGAGAGAGAGGAGAGGAAACACTAATCCATTTTTCAAAACCACGAAATCATCAAACGTAATCGAGAAGCAGAGGATTGAAGAAGAAAAGTTGTGAAGAAGAAGAGAGAATATATTCACTGTCTTATTAGAACGTCAACGATGTAAATTATTATCGGTGACAAAGCACAACTTAAGAACGTCGTGTAGAATTGCCAAGAATATTTCTTTAATACTTGTGACATTGAAATTAACTAACAAATTATTTATAAATCCTTTCACTTTTTCAACCTCCTTAGCGGTAATCGAAGCTTCATCTAATTTACGCTAGATAATTGTTTATGCAAAATCAAGATGTTAGTAGAAATTTGTATGTTAGTATTTATTACCCCTTTGTTTCAATTTGTTTACCTTTTGTTTTAATCATTTGACACATAGTTTAAAGAATTAAAAAGAACTTTTGAATTTTATAACCTCAAATATGTTATGTCCAAAGTTTTCAACAAAAAAAAGATAAAAGTATGAAAACCCTTAAAATTATCGACTGCTTTTTTTTACCATTCAAAGGAGAAACATATATATTCAAAAGGTATCAATGAATAGGGGTTTGCATTCTCACGGCCCTTTTAAGTTATCAATCGTAATAATGGACTTAACATTCTTCAATTACCTAGTGCTTATAAAGAGTTCACGCTTATAAAAAAAATTTCTGAAACACATTGAAGCAGGCATATTTCAATGCGAACTCTCTCTTATATAATAAGAAAATATATCCACAATCTTATTAGAACGTCAGCGATATGAATTATTACCAGTGACAAAGCACGTCTTAAGAATGTCCGTACAGAATTGCCAAAATATTTCCTTAACTAGTAAAATAACCCGCACCTCGCGCGAAAATTTAATTTCACGAAATTTATAAACAATACTTAACACCTATCAGTCATTAAAACTAAAACATTATACTATCTTACATACAAGATTACGTAGTAACGAACATTAATAATGTAAAGGAAAATGAAAATTATAACATCTTATCATTTATCCTTAATAACATAAACATAAATTAATGATTGTAAAAAAACTTACCAGGATCTGCAACAATAGAATGAAACACAGAGGACAAAATTGAGTCCACTGAATGCACAATGTCCCCTTATGGAAATTATTCCCCTCTAGTACCCGATGTTTAAAGGAATAGATTCTCTCAGGATAGAACGATTATATTCATCAGTGTATTGATACAAAAACAATGGTGTCAGTGAGCCACTTAATAAGAGTAAAGTACACGAATATTTAGTTGTGTAGAAGATGAAGAAGTAGTTCAGAATTTTCGTTGTTTTAAAATGAGAGGAAATCCCTCTATTTATAGACAACAAAGGGTAGTGTGAATAAATGTTTATTGTGCCTTATCGGAAAGGTCACAACTATTTGGAAAAGTTGCAACCCTTCGAAAATGCCACAACCTTTCATAAAAGTCACAACTTTTCATAAAAATCGCAATTGTTCATAAAAATCGAATAAAAGTCACAACTTTTCATGAAAGGGGAAGACTAATTTTAGAAATAAATGAATTAAAAGGGAATCCAAGTTTGTGGTGGCGCCACGTAGGCGGGCCTATGATTCTCTTTTATATATGATATATGATACTTGTGACATCAAAAATTAACTAACAAATTATTTATAAATCCTTCACTTTTTCAACATCCTTAGCGGTAATCGAAAAATCCCCTGAGCTTCATCTAATATACGCTTAGATAATTGTTTATGCAAAATCAACATGTTAATAGAAATTTGTATGTTAGTACTTACTACCCCTTTATATCAATTTATTTGTCTCTTTTTTATCATTTGACACAAAATATAAAATATTAAAAAACTTTTGAATTTTATAACCTCAAA